CTCTTCTTTCCCCCATCTATCCTCTTTACTTATATCCTGCATCTTCTCCTCACACTAGCCCGTATCCTTTTTCTCTCTCCTCTCCCCTCCTTGTGTCCCTCTCTTTTCCTCCCCAAGCTACCTTTTCCCTCTCTCCAGATGGTCTTGAGTGGTCTGATAATAATAATAATAATAATCATCACCATTATTTCATTGGTAAGACATGTTAATTCTTTGTGGAGTACTGATGGTTAATTAAATTCTAACGTGAGTGGTGTTGGAAGATTTTTCAGCCAATGTGTTTAGATAATCTTTTTGCATCATAATCTAACAGAGAATTATGTGTCTTAGCAGAAGAAGATTCTAGAAGTTACATTTTGGCACTGTAAAGCACATTAATCACTTTTTTTCTTTATATCTTTATTTTTTTTTTTACATTATTATTATTATTATTATTAATATTATTATTAATATTGTCATCATCATTATTATTTTTATTATTAATTCAGTCTAAATGTATAGTAGATTATATTTTTCTCACATTTGTTCATACACATATACAGTATGTATGCATATGCATGTACTTTTGCCTGAATTTATGTGTGTTTTTGTATGTTTCTGTTGATGTTCATGCGTGTGTGTGTGTGTGTTTGTTTGTTGACGTGTGTGTGTGTGTGTTTGTTTGTTGACGTGTGTGTGTGTGTTTGTTTGTTGACGTGTGTGTGTGTGTTTGTTGACGTGTGTGTGTGTGTTTGTTGACGTGTGTGTGCGTGTTTGTTGACGTGTGTGTGTGCGTGTGCATGCACACTTGTGTGCCTGTGCATATGTATGCATGTGTGTTTGTTTGTTTGTTTGTTTGTTTGTTTGTTTGTCAGCGTGTGCGTGCATGTGTGCGTGCGTCCATCTGTGTGCACTTGTATGCCTCTGTGTGTGTGTGTGTGTGTGTGTGTGTGTGTGTGTGTGTGTGTGTGTGTGTGTGTGTGTGTGTGTGTGTGTGCATTCATGCGTGTGCGTGTGCGTGTGTGGGTGTGGGTGTGCATGCGTGGCATGTACGATTGTTTGTTGGATTAATTTTTATAATTGAGTGCATATATGAGTGTATGTATGTATATGTGTGTGTTTGTAGGCATGTGCACTATGTATATGTTTTATGTATATATGCATATATATGGACATCATATGCATTGAGTATATTTTGTATGTATGTGTGTGTGTGTGTGTGTGTGTGTGTGTGTGTGTGTGTGTGTGTGTGTGTGTGTGTGTGTGTACACACATATGTCTGTGTCAGTCAAGAGAGAGAGAGAGAGAGATTTTTGTTTGTTTGTTAAGGTTGATCAAGTGAGTGAAAGCACGCATGTATGCATGCATATATATATGTACTGTATGGCTAAATTAAAAACAAGCACTGGATTTTTATTTTTATTTTTTTTATTATTATTTTTATTTATTTATTTTTTATATACAAAAAACTCAAACTTGCCATATTATTATCTATTTTGTAGTTTTTGAAATGATCATTATGGAAGTGTTTGCTGTCAAAATCTTTCTGTTTTTGAGATAAACTCACTAGTCATTTAGAGTAAATTGATATATTCTTGAATGGGGAACTACTATTAGTGTAAGTCTTAAGTTACGTGCATACTGAGGTGTGTGGTGTGTGTGTTAGCAGGACGTGATGGTGGTTGGAGAGCCGTCCCTGATGGGCGGTGAATTTGGTGATGAAGATGAGCGACTTATCACACGCTTGGAGAACACCCAGTACGACACGGCCAACGTGGAGGACAGCGGTAGTGGCGGAGGTCCCCAAGGGGCAGGGCCAGGAGGACCTGGACCTGGAGGACCCGGACCTGCCGGACCCACGCCATTCAATAACTCACCGATGACCACTGGCCCCGGAGGTCCCTGGCCCGACCCCGCGCGACAACCCCAGGACGCTGACAAGAAGAGTCCAGCAATCAGTCAGTAGCCCAGATGTTAAAAACACTTTAGATTCTCTTTTTTTACGAAGTAGCACCCCTTCCCCCTCCCCCTTATGAGTGGAAAAGGTATCTTCAGGAATTGGAGAGTAGCCATTATAGGTAGCCTCAATGGGAAGGCTCACAACTGGTGTAGTGAAGATATTTTGGTAGTAAGAGTGGTGGACTTGAAGGGGGTCAACAAGTATTACAAATGGGAAAAGTTGGCAGTGCATCATTGAAGCTTATTTATTCAATTTGGAATTTCAATGCTCTCTTGATTTTCATTAGTAGATAGCTGACCAAATAATTTTTTTTTTAATAGTTTGTTATGTAAGACAACTTTGATACTGGGCTGCCTTTGTGATTTGGGGTTTTGAGGGTGAGTTATCTATTTGGAGTTTTAATTTTAATTCTCTCGTAAACTGTGAACTCTGAAAGACTGAAGTGATAGTACCCAGCCAGTCATGGTGTGGCATACAATCTTTCCTGGGGGACAAAGCTCAGATCAGACTGTAAAAAAAAAATAATAATAATAATAATTACACTTCCAAATGAAGCTGTAAGGTTAAGGTTTAAAGGACAACAGTCTTCATGTACCCAGGTACTTGTGTTTCTTACCAGTTTTCATACCTACAGTGGTGCACATGCTGTAAATGCTTTGTAACTTTTTATATTATTTTAACAAAAAAAATCAATAGGGACCAATGTTTTGGTCAAAGTTACAAGGTTATTACATTCTTTTCAGTTGTATAACCAGTTTTGCAAAATAGGTATACAAGGCCCTGAGTATTTTGATATGGTTTCATGAAGATGAATGATACTTAGACCTTCAATTATTGTGCTTATCATGAGAGATGGTAGTTGTTCCTTTATAAAGTTTTCATGATTGAATGTTTGAAGTGCATGTTAATCCCTGTTAAGTATTTATTATACTTGGGCATGGATGTGAGGAGGATCTTAGAGAGAGTGTTTCAACAAGTGAACCTTTATGTTGTATGTGTATATTTGTAGTGATATAACTTTTAAGTATGGTACTTGGCCTACACTAGCAATATTTCAGGGTATGGGTTATGTCCCATGGCATATTCTTTATTTGGTAGTGGGATTTCTGGCATAAATTAGGGTGGCATACTTATTTATTTGTTTGAGGTAATATCTTGTGTGGCATTTTATTATAAAGGAAGAAACTTTGAATGATACTTAGACCTTCAATTATTGTGCTTATCATGAGAGATGGTAGTTGTTCCTTTATAAAGTTTTCATGATTGAATGTTTGAAGTGCATGTTAATCCCTGTTAAGTATTTATTATACTTGGGCATGGATGTGAGGAGGATCTTAGAGAGAGTGTTTCAACAAGTGAACCTTTATGTTGTATGTGTATATTTGTAGTGATATAACTTTTAAGTATGGTACTTGGCCTACACTAGCAATATTTCAGGGTATGGGTTATGTCCCATGCATATTCATTATTTGGTAGTGGTATTTCTTGCATAAATTAGGGTGCATACTTATTTATTTGTTTGAGGTAATATCTTGTGTGCATTTTATTATACAGGAAAGAAACTTTTTTTTATAACTATTCATTGTTCAAGTGAGAGAACTAAGCATGTCCCATTGTAGGTAGACAAGGCTGGTCTCTCAAGTGTTTCATAATGTTTCCAAAGGTTCACTGATTGTTATGTGAAATATCTCGTCTGAGAAAATTGTTTATATAATTTTGTATATGATGGCTTTCGTTGGTCTGACCTTGATCATTCATTTAGGGTTCTATTTTTTGCTCATACTATACTGAAACTCAAAGGCATTTCATTAGTTTTTATACCATAAGGACTGACTTCATATTAATATTATATGGTAGACTGGCAGGGTGTATGAAGTTGTTATCCTACTTTTTTCATGATTTCATGGAAACAGTTACTTGTATCTTTGTACAAATTGCCCAAGGAGTAGTATTGTCATCTCATTCAGTTTCTTTCAAATCAAAATGTAAGCAATATGCAAGGAGGTTTGCAAAGAGAGAGCTTTTCAGTTTTTATTTCCTTATCTGTGGTTTATATTTTTTATATATCCCATATATCTTATAAATTTGTAAGAAATTCAGTTTTAAACATGTACACTTTATTAATTATTCTTGGAATTGATTCTACTCTCTGTGCAAAGTCTCTGTAATGTTCATCCTCTCAGACACAGCTTAGTTTTCTTGGTATCAGCACCCTTGTTATTGTTGAAATATCCCTGCATATTGATTGGTTGAGATGCCTGCTTGATAAACATTCCACCGAATAATCCAGAGTTTAACCAAAAAATGTGATTAATGATTTTGTATCTAAGGTTTCAATAAGGAATATGTTGTATAGTGAGATATTTCTTACTGAAGAAGCATGTGATTGACACTCCTTTGTAATGATACAGAATACATGTATTGCCTACCAAGAAAACAGAAAATTTAAGAATCTCACAGGCTACAGTCTGCAGTCCATATCAAGGGGATGAGTCTAGGCTCACAACCTCCATATTCTATTTTTTCTGTTGTTAAAAAAGGGAACATTACTATCTAATTTGGAGATTTGTAAGAGCCAAGCTTGAACCTTGCATATCAACACTTCTCCCCAAGAACTTTCTTGTGTTTACCTCTCATGTAAAGTGTACAAATCTTTGTTTGGATGTGATTGGTCGCCAAGATTTCCCAAAGAGGAAGCTACTATTTCTTGTCTTCTAGAGTGAGTGATGATAATAAATATTTTTAATCTAAGTTTTAGCTTAATTTATTTTCCTTATATACACAATATATAAATTATGAAAATTATATAAATTCATAAGATGGCAGACATGAATCAACTTTGAAGGAAAGAATTATTAATATTGCTGAATAATAAAAAAAACACTTATGAAAGCATATTCAATTGCTTATTGTGGTTCTACATATAATGAATAATGTATCTTCCCAACATCGTTCTTGATACTGAACAAGGCGAATTCAACTTTTAAAAAATCAAGTGCAAAAATTAACCTCGTGAAATATCAAAAGTAATTATTGGATGAGTTTTACATTATCGCAAAACTATCGAGGAAAACAACGAAAAACTGATACGGAAAATAAGTTTGAAAGTAGTCTGTGGCAACTGTCAGCTGGTGATTGTTGCCAAGTCTGCAGATTCAGTTATCTATTACTCAAAAAAAGAAATTAATATATAAAATGTGTAACTGGTCAAACTAGTACCGATATGCAATTAATATGAACTCTTACATTTAAAAGAAAAACACTAAAGTCGTAAGAAGGATGGAGAGGGAAAAAAAAAAAACTTTCAGCTCAGTGCTTCGTGAATGCATGAGGCAAAAATATTAGAGCCTGAAAATAATGGCAGAATGTGACTCTAGTCTCACTGACGGCGCAATACTCGATTCAAGAAGCCATGGAAACTCTAGATCTAATGGTGAGATATTGGATTTTACGTATATATATATATATATATATATATATATATATATATATATATATATATATATATATATATATATATAATGTTGAACAATTTAGTTTGGTTTATTTACTCATTCCGTAACTAAAAAGGATTAAAATTGGTAGGTCTGACGTACATTCATTATACTGTTATCGTAATTAAACTTGTAGGATTTAATAAATCACTTTACAGTAGTAATGGAAATACAAACATGTTTTGTCCTATTATTTTTATCTTCCAGTATTTAAGCTATTAACCTTATTACCTTACTCATCATATCAATTAACAATGCTCGACAAACTGGAATGAGAAGACTTCAGAAGATCAGTTACAAGTGATCCTCTTTTATGACTCAACATTAATGGACCGTTGATTTATATATATATATATATATATATATATATATATATATATATATATATATATATATATATATATATATATATATATATGTATGTAATTATTATTGAATACTGACACAACATATTTTCCTTTCACGGTCCGTGTTTATACGCAAAGTTTAAGGATCCAAGAACATGTTACTGTTTATCATATGTGAGAATATATCGCTGTTTTTGCCAGTATTAAAATCCAGAATCTTAATAGTATCAGTTTCTTTTAGGTTCTGAAACAGATGAAGGTGCAAAACTTTGGCAACTAAAACCGACCTTTTCTTCAAACACATTATTAGAGCGGCATTTCATGACCGAGAGTGGGCGGCCATCTTGGGATCAAGGTACGTATGGATCTAATAATGCGGCCAAGTTTCTTTGGTAACTTTATTAACTTTTTCTCTATCATTTGGACAAGATGAAAAATATAGTTTTTTCATATTTTATTGTCGAATAGTTGTAGTGTATAATAAGAATATCATACTCTGTTTTTTGTATTTGCTTTTTTTTTCCTTGAGTTGATATGAGCTTTTGCATTCAGTACATGAATAACATACGAATAGGTCAACAAGTATATATTTAAAAGTATTCCGTGTGTGTCTATATATGTATGTTTGTAGTATGTATGTATATGAAATGTATTTAAATACAAATATATGGATATATATACATAAATATATACATACATGTATATATATATATATAGTATATATATATATATATATATATGTATATATATATATATATATATATATATATATATGTATATATATATATATGTATATATATATATATATATATATATATATATATATATATATATATATGTATATATATATATATATATATATATATATATATGTATATATATATATATATATATATATGTATATATATATATATATATATATATATATATATGTATATATATATATATATATATATATGTATATATATATATATATATATATATATATGTATATATATATATATATATATATATATATATATTATTGTATATATGTGGGGGGAGGGGTGCGCGCGTGCGTGTGGGATGCATTTGTTTATGTTCTTGCGGGGGTATGTTGGGCATTGCGAGAATGTTGTAAACCTTTGATGGCATTCCCTTATGATTTTTAACGTATATATTGATGGCTAGAAGAATAATATATAATTAAATGAAACTGTAATAGCTCACTTCCCGTTTTGTCTCCTGACCAATATCCACGATTTCCTGTTGCAGACTGGTCGGTATTCAGCTGGATGTTTACCAAGATTTCTTCCTCGTTTATCGAAGCACGAGGTTAACCCCCCCCCCCCCATAAAGTAATATGTAAATTTAGATCAAAGTAAGTCGGTAAACGTTACAGGCGCTTTACCTTTCTCCAGGAGCAAGGATAAATATCAGATAAGCTTCGTCAGGAACAAGAACAAAATGCTATTTTTATCGTTTGCCTTGAAAACGACAAACGCGTGCGAAGCAAGAGATTTCTGCTTTCCTATCATGCTTTCCAAACTCCAAGGATTATTCCACTTCAATAAATACTTGCTTGTCGCCATGTATAATATCCAATAGTATCTTATGGAGAGGGATGTTTATTTTGATAAGTGGCTAAATGGTTTACCATGAGTAAGTCTTATATAATCAGGACTGACTAGGTTTGATAAAAACAATTTTTACGTCTTCCTGTATTGTGACTATTACTATTTTAAATGCCAAGATTATGTCAAAACATTGATGAACATTATGAATGGCAACATGAAAACTGTACTGGTATATCGTCTTGACCCCTTGACCTTTTACTGCGTTTATGTTTATGTATTAACCGTGACAACTTTTTTCAGTCAAGAGTTATTTTCAGTTTGATCGAATGCGATAACGGAATTATTGAAATATGTTTACTGACCATTCATCTACTGGATATCAAGAATAAAAAATCTCCATTGATTGTGTCGTTCGCTCAATTTGAAAACGCGTTAATCAACATTTTTTCCAATGTGAATTACTTGTTTTTTATCAATCAATGTTTAGTGCATTTTTATACTGTCGTACAATAACCACTTTAGTAAATGACACTTTAAAGAGAAATATATGCTCCTTTTACCTGCATTGATCGTTTAAATGGACGATATATTTATCCCGTAAAAGTCATGAGGCAACATGACAGTTGGCATTTCCTTCTTCTGGCGTGTGACGTTTGCCAGAATCGCAGCGTAATGTTGAGTAACCGTAACACAACAGAACTATTTCTAATAACAAGGTCAGTTGCTGTGGTACAAATGTGGTCTGCAATTTAGTCCTTAATTTATGATTTCCATGAAAAGCAGGGAATGTCGTTTACTGGTGTTATTAATTTCTGTATAGTTGTGCTTATTGTGCCATGCCCCACCTCACCACTTCCCAAAAACATATGCTCTCTCCCATTTTTATAAAGAAATATTTAGTTTTGAAAATAAGATATGATTTAGAATGTCGAAATTAATGTGATTAATAGTACTAACGTTAGACAAACAAAACCTCAAGTCTCACACTGAGAATACTTCTTGCCTACTTTACCTACTATTATTTCTTACTTTTGGCACATGCAGTATAAAACATAAACACCAGGTTCCTCATCATTTTTCAATACTAATAAACTCTGACAAATGTATCGCCACACTTCAGCCATAGGTTTGCCCAACGAACCCTACTTCACACTCTATTTACCAAATAAAAACATTATTTTTTTCTTGAAGTAATTGCTCATAGTTCCGTATGTAATAATACCCGGTGTTGTAATATTAATAAATGTGAACGGAAAAGAGAGGGTAAGCATTACACTGGCTAAAACGTGTTTAGGCCAGAGTAGACTTTATAGGAACTGCTGGGACGAACACATTGTGGAATTCCAGGCCGATCGTTTAGGCTTTGCGTTGGTTGAAGGTAATTAGATATGTTAATGAAAAGGTTAATGAAAGAGTGGACGGATACAGAACTAAAAAAAATGTAACAAAGCTAAGCGTAGAATTAGCTTATTACTAAATGTAAATCGGTATATGTTCATACATATATACATATATGTATGTATATTTATATATGCATATATACTTATATATATATATATATATATATATATACATATATGTCCATATACATATATCATATTCATATATATACACATATACTCCTGTATACACGTGTGTATATATGAATATATACATATATACATATATATATATGTATGTATACATCTAAACGTATATATGTATATGTATACATATAATAATACACACGTATAAATGAATAAACATATATATATATATATATATATATATATATATATATATATATATATATATATATATATATATATATATATATATATATATATATATATATATACATATATATATATATATATATATATATATATATATATATATATATATATATATATATATATATCAAATACATATATGTCCATATACATATATCATATTCATATATATACACATATACTCCTGTATACACGTGTGTATATATGAATATATACATATATTTACATATATACATATATATATATATATATATACATATATACATATATGTATGTATATTTATATATGCATATATACTTATATATATATATATACATATATACATATATACATATATACATATATATATATATATAGGCAGTAAGATAGGGGTGGCATACATGATTTATTTGCATAACTATCATCATTCCATGATGACCCAAATTACTTACATGATAGCCTTATCCATATAGGCTATTTATGGATAATGGATCGATGTACTTGTAAGGATCAACATACTAACAAAACGAGGCCGGTCATCGCCTCTTAAGATGTTCGCTAACCCAAAACACCTGCTATTAAGTTTCATTTAGAACGCCCGTCCAGGCAGAGGATCGTGTGTAATAACTCTTACCAAGACGTTAACATCACAGCAATCTCAACCATGAAAGTTTTGGCCAAGTTAGACGGTTAGGTAGTTCATGGATCTTATGTGTAGTTTCATGTTTCATGGATTGGTTAACTCGGAAGAGTATCTTTTCATATCTACATTTTTGTCGAATGGATTTTGATGTTCGCATACTAAAAATTCAGTAGAGAAAATAAGTAATTGATACAATGAATATTTAACTAACAACTTCTTCTGTCGCGTTTTACTCATCACTTCTCATATAACCTGTTTGTAAATATAAAGATAAGAGGATACATTACAAATTATCAAAAGGTGTTATTGAATTTGCTCTAAAAGTGTACTTCGCATTTTCTTGTTTCAATACTGTCCCCAAACATCAGATGTTAACCCTGTCCATCAACATATAATTAGGATTGCGCAGTTTCCTTGTCAAAATGGGTATAAAGAAACGCCGTTTTTCATGTTATTTACATATTTATTTTTCTTTACTACTTTTTGGATGCAGCTGCAGGGATGAACGTAAATTGGAATCATTAAACATCAGTAAATCCATAAATAATTCTGAACACGTATTAAAATTATGGAAATGCAACTCATTGTTCTGCTGAGGCCTAAGAAAAGATTGGGTGTATGGATGTATACATATATACAAACATACATACAGGTGTATCTGTGTACGTATTTATGTATGTGTGAGTACACATGTGTGTATGTTTATATATATACACATACATATACATATATATAATATAGCACATCAACGTGTGTTTGAAGCAGTGTCATACAATGTCACTAATGGAAATACTAATTGCCTATTCATATTATGGTGAGGACCTTGATAATTTTTTGCTTTATTTGCAATACATCATGTACCTCTTTTTTCTTTACAGTTATTTCATCATAAGTATAATATAATTAATTAATTGATCGAACGAATTTGTAAAGTTTTTGTTACTTTTGTAATCTACTGTCAGGATACAGATATCAAAAGCAATAAGAATGATTTTAGGAATAATATCATTATTAGTGTTAAAAGTACTAATACTAATGATAATAAATGTTAATATGATTATGCTATTGATGATGATACTCTTAGTTACAATAGTGATAATAATAATTATTGTAATAATAAGAACGGTGATGACATTAATGATAATGATGATAATATTGATAGTGATAATAATAACAATAATGATGATACTAATTGTAACAATAATAATCTTGCCAGTTATTATCGTTACTATGATCATTGCTGTTATCATTATTATAAGCATTGTTATCGTCCTCACTACTTACTTATTATCATGCTAATCACTATAAACATCATAACTATTATTATTACTATTACCATCTACGACTATTACTATTGATATGGTGATAATAAAGATAACAACGATAATGATGGTGGTAATGACGATGATAGAAAAGAGGGAAGGAATAAAAACAATAACAAAAACATAAAAAAATAACACCGATGCTGATAATAATAATGATAATGGTGATAATAATAGAAATGATAATGATAATAATAATGGAAATGATAATGATAATAATAGAAATGATAATGATGATAATATATATTATATTATCATTATTACTGTTACTATTATTGTTACTATTGCTGTTACTATAGAAAAAATGACGGTAACAACAACAATAATAATAAAACATCAATAATAATAATAGCAATAACAATTATGAAAATTAAAATGATAATTATAATGACAATAATGGTAAAGGTAATGATAATGATAATAAAACCAGTAATAGTGAGGAAGATGATAGTAGCGATAACAATAATTACAATAACAATAATGATGATAATGATAATGGTATCAATAACAATGATAATGAAAAGGATGATAACATTAACGAGGGCAATTAGTAATAAGAATAAGAATAAGAATGATAATGGTAATAAAATAGAAATAATGATTATGGCAAATGATAATCATGGCATAATAAAGATGATAATGATCATATAAATAATGATAATAATTTATGATAATGATAACATTAATAATTGGGATATTAATCATCATCACTATAATCACAATCATGATAGGGATGGTAATGATGATAATGATGTGAAATGATAATAATCATGGAATGATACTGTTTGTAAAATTAAAGGTAATACTGACAATGATGATAACATTATTACAATAATAGAAACAAGTAATAAACTCATAGTACTTCTATCATGTACGGTTAATATTTGAGAAGTCTTGCATCTACTGACGTCATTTCATAGCAAGTACTAACGTTAATTACAGGAGAATAAGAGGTCTCATTTGAGTTGTCTGTTTGAGGTTTACGCCAGTAACTCAAGATTTCTCGAGGGATCCGTTACATTTATTGGTAACTTAGATGAATTAATCAAACTAATTGGTATAGCGTTATCAAGCTTTCCGTGATATAGCTTTGGCCATGCATGTTTCAGGCTAGTGAAATACAGAGCAGATGAGTATACATGTCAGAATTAATATATTTGAATTCTTGTTATGTTAATGTCAGTGAGTATGCCCTGTATACCTTATATATAATATTTTAAAGATAGTATATTTAGTTGATAAAGGAAGCAAGCCATTTTTTTTTATAATGAAGATGTTAATGGGGATTTATAAATAAAACATCCTGTTTTTAATTAGAGGTGTTTTTACCCTTGAAGTAACATGGACATAAACGAAAGAAAATTAAATCAGCGAATAGGGAATGAAAATCACCACAGGAAAATCTGGAAAAGCACGCCAGTCTCTCTTGTGACAGTGAAGGAAGGAACTTGGCATTCGCGAAGTGACAGTTGCGAATTACACAAAATGCTAATGTCTAGAGAAAAAAAAATATGATGAATGATAAATGACAGTTAGAACGTCAAGTGAATATTTGACCAAAATAATTTAGTTTATAATATATATTCACTCAGTTATCGGATGCATCTCTCGTTTCTTACCTATGTTCACTACTTTCCTGGCACACGCGCGCGTGCTGAAAGAGAGAGAGAGACAGAGACCGAGAGACAGACAGAGGAAGAGAGACGAAAGATAGAGAGGGAGAGATGCTCAGGCATACTCATACATAACCACAGATACACACTCAAATACTTACATTCATTTGAATAGTTAAACTCATTCGTTCAGCGGAAGAGGACACTTAGGTAACAAAGCAGATTCGATAACAGAGCTGGTGGCGGGCGAGGCTTACAGCAAAATTATAGCGGGCATTCAGTGGTGTACACATTGGCTCACACATACATTTTTGTAGGTATATGAGAAAAGTTGATACACATCAGCTGCAAGGTGTTCCATTATTATCAGTATCTTTGTTAACAGTAAACACAAAGTCACACTCACGCACACGCGCGCACACACACACACACACATATATGTGTATATAAATTTTATATATATATATATATATATATATATATATATATATATATATATATATATATGTGTGTGTGTGTGTGTGTGTGTGTGTGTGTGTGTGTGTGTGTGTACACATATATGTGTACATATATATATGTGTGTATATATATATATATATATATATATATATATATATATATATATATATATGTACACATATATGTGTATTTGATATATACATACATACATACAAATATAACTGTAATTTTATTTTATACTTTTTATTTTATTCTTATACGTTGCTGAACATTTTCTTTTTAGTTCGGCATCTGGCCTCTCTTCCAATAAATTATTCATGAACATTCCATATACATAAACATATATATACATACATATGTGTATAGTATATATATATATATATATATATATATATATATATATATATATATATATATATATATATATATATATATTATATATATATAATTGCAGCATTCATCAGTCACGTGACCATGAAGAGCCAGGATTTGTGAGTTGGCACTGGAACATCCGTGTTGCGTCGTCACTTCGCAGCGACACTGGAACAAGCCTAAGCAAGGGTGATATGGAAGACCGGCGGTCGCCTATGAAGCAGGTCCCCTTCTCCACATCACTGACTTAATCCAAGGGAAGGGCGAGACACCAAGCAGCTTGGCACCTGTGCTAATGCAGGAGTTGCCAGAACAAAGTTGAAATCAACAACAAATTGCCTTAGGGACTTCAGCTCCATTTTTTTCTTCATGGTTTATCTCTTTTGGTATTTATGTATTGACATGACTACTAGAAACCAACACCA